AGATACACACGTGCTAAAATAACTTGTTCTTAAGTTTGTGTGTGCAAGAAAAAATAAACATACCTGCTCCTATAACTTGTGGTTAAGTGCGTGTGTGTGATACACACCTGCTTGAGGAACTTGGGGTTGACGTGTATGGAGGCGTTGCTGACGGAGGGCGGCAGGGATTTGATTGGCCAGGCGGGATCGACGCTGTTCACCCTGACGTCGAGGGCGTAGAGCTTCTTCAGAGGAAACACGTCCTCCCAGGTGGAGCGCAGCTTGAAGAGGCTCTTCCTGGTGTTCTCATCCACCTGCAGACACAGCACACAGTGGGCCAGCGCCAACACACACACCGGGCAACACACACCAACACTCACTTAGCTCCATTATATATGACAAGAAACATTAACCCTCCGTTTTATTAGCAAGGCGTTATATAGACAATTCACCCCAACATTCAAAAACAATCCTCTCATTTAATAAGCTTTTTTATTCTTCTACATTTACTGGTGGACGTTGGAGAGGTTTCTGATTCCTCTGCAGTAAATAATTGAAAACACATTTTAAAAAGGTTTGTGTTAAGCAGAAATGTGTTTGTGTTTCACATCTGTGTTAATGCACGTTTCCTTTTGCACAGAGAGAGAAAATAGACCCTACAAGAAACTGGTTTATCTTAAATGAGTCATGATTCTTAGATATTGGGGGGGGGGGGGGGTTATATTTGAGGAAAAGCCCACACTTTGCAACCGACTGAAGAAAAACATCCAATTTTTAATCAGGTAAAAGTTTTTTTTAATGTTGGGGTGAATGGCCCCTTTAATACGCAGAGGGCAGGAGAGGAAACAAGAAGCAACAATAAACAGATTTCATGTGAATGTGTGATTTGAAACAGCAGCAAAGAGAACTGTACCTTTTCAAAGACACATATAAATGAAGTGATTAGGTTTTTAGCAAACACTGCAAGGTACTCTCCTCCAACATTCTTCACTATGGAATCCACTAAGTACAAAACGGGAAGCTTCTCGGCGGACGGGGCCTGGAGCAATAGAGAACTCGACAAGTTTAGAGAACAACAAGGGGTTAAAAAGCAAAACATTTCACAACAAATCACAACTCGCTGCGTGGAGGAAAATATAAAAATGTAGAAAAATAAAGTCAGTGAGGAGGAAAAACATCAGCAGTCCAGAGAGTCTTCGTCAGGAACCAAAATGCAGGAAGTCCTTTCAGATAAAATCCAAAAAACGTTCAGAAAATTCTTCAGTCAGGTTCACGTGGGTAAAAACAAAAAGTGTTCGTGAGCGGTTTACCTCCAAAGAGCGCTCTTCAAACCGCTCTTTGTACTTTACCCAGACGCTCTTTACTCTCACACACGGTGAGTTTTATCCTCGTTAAGTTTTAACCCTTCGCAGGGTTGTTTGAAAAAAGCCCTTCAGGGAGCAGTGAGCATTTAGTGAGTTTAAACTGTGCTGTCATAGCGAGCAGCTGCTAACACCGTTTATCACACACTGGACACCGGACCAAGAAATTACACTGGGAAATAAAAAATGACAAAAAGCACATTTCACATTTTTTATTATAAACATTTTAACCATTCAATGACATTTCAGTAAATCAAGATTCACTAAAGACTTGTTGTTACTGTGGAGGGGCTTTAAGTAAATGTGTGTGTGGACAGTTTTTATTAACAGTGAACATCAGCAGATATACGAAGGAGATAATGTGACGCATGCTTTAAATAAATCTGACGGCTGCACAAGTCAAAATCCACCGTAACATAAACACATGAGTCTTTCTAGAATGCGTTACAGGGACAACACGGTGCTAAGGATACACAAGCCAGGCGTCTATTTGAGCAACACAACTATATTTTAAGGGATGGATTTTAAGTCAATTACAAAGCTGTATATAATGTCTATATTAAGGGTATTGTGAGATGACCCATATGTCGTTAATTCCTTGTTTTAAAGGCTGCATTTGATGTTAAGTGATGTCATTTTCTGTATAATTATTTGGCCTTAACCAAGTAGACATTACAGCCATATTTATCATAGTGATTCTTTTTTGTGATTTCCTTATGAAATCCATATTGTGGGTACTTTGCATCAGTGTGTTGTGACTTTGGGATTAATTAGTTAACACCAATACAACTTTTAATAACAAATAAAACTCTGTGTTAAGTGAACTAAATATTGAACACTATTTAAATGTTTCAATAGAGGTTTTAAATCATGGCTTAAGGAAAAATAGCATTACAATAGCTCTGTGTTTTGGATGTTGGTAAAGCTGTGTACTTCTGTATACACCTGTAGCCTATGAATGTGTCCAGTATAGTTAGTTTAGTGTATATATGTGTGTAGGTGTTTGGCTACAACACATTTCATATCAAGACATTCATATAATTGCATAGAAATTAACTCTAAATGAGCATTGGATTTAACTTAGATAGCAACTTTAAGATACTTATACATTGGCACCGTGGTTTGTGATTTCTAAAAGTCAACTAAATAACCTAAACATGGATTACTGATCACTTAATACACATGTTATTATCTGTGCGTTTCATTTCTTTTCTACTGTAGTTGTTTATATACTTATTGTTTTTGCTTTGTTTAAAATGTTGTACCTATCTATATACTATTATATGTCATATTGTGTATTATTTGTATTTTCTACTGTAGATATATTAACATTTGCTATTTTTACTTTATTAAGTTTATACTTGTTAAATATGTTAATGCCTAAACACACCGAAATACAAAATAGTTTCCCAATGTGGGATCAATGAACTATACATCTATCTTCAAAAATACAGATTTTCATAAAAGTTCCAAAACTACAATGTATTATGACACATCACAGAAACTAGGCCTCACTTCGCCATTTTACGGTGGATTTTAACTCAAAAAGCAACTTAGAGAGCATTATACATTAGTACCGCGAGTTACGACAAATGTAGCTTGTTAAAAACACTATGTTTCGATATCTAAGAGCCAAATAAATAACTAATAAACGGACTATTTCTCACTTTAATACACAGAAAAGCAGCTAGCCGCGTTGCTAACAACAATGCTAACGGAATGTGGCACTGAAAGCTAGCTCGTGCTAACCGCCATGTTGCTAACACAAGGCCTAAAGTTACACACAAACATCTGGAGGTGTTATTCTATGTATATTTTTTATAAAAACCTTGCTGATTTGCGCTTCAATAATAGCCACGATTTCCTTGGCGAAGTGCAGGTTCTCCTCGGCCAGGATGGTGAGCATGTTGATGTGCGGCTTGCTGTTGAACGTCAGGTCCTCCAGAGAGGAGAGGTACTCCCTGCAGGCGTCTTTATCCGCCATTACAACCACTGGAAGCTTACTGCAGCCCGCTGGGAACCATCAGCACACAGTCCGTCGACTCATTAGAAACACTTGTTCGGAGGGAAACAACAAAATGTCGCCGCTTTTTCGAGGTTATTTTAGTTTCAACCGTCGTCGTGCTATTCGTCCTCCAACAACGAGATGAGGCCGCATACGTCACAGGAGGGGTTTTTATATGAGCCATGACGTCACTTTAATCCCATTGGCTCGTATGAGGTCACGTGGACCGGGATCTTGGTTTTAGTTGGTTTAATAAAGTAACTGTCAAACAAATGAGCGAATCAGACACAGCATACCTTTTATTCGTCCCACAGAGCGGACATATTTACAATGTTACAGCACGTAAAGAAGAGCCAAAAATAGCTTAGCATTAATGAAGAAGCATTCATAAGTTATTAAAGATAGAAGTAGATGTTACACAATGTACAAAACACACATTGAGTACAAGGAACAGCTGTGATCAGACCCGGGAAACCTTATTATGGGAAACATAACCATTTCGGTGTTTTATTTGATCAACCGTCGTCTTGTTCTTCATTTCCAACAACAAGATGAGGCTGCCTGCACACACGGCACTGGAAGGGTTTAGTTAGGGTTTTGAGCTGTGACGTCATTTGAATCTCATTGGCTCGTGTCAGGTCGCCTTGGTGGACCGGGATCTTGGGTTGCGACCGAATTGTCCAAAAATGGGCTCCTATTGTCTATTCCTATCCACTATTCCTTGACCTCTGTGTGAAACGTGTGAACTTTTGAAACAACATCCATAACATTCATCTGGCTGCAACTTAGACATTATTTATCTAATTTATCATATTCCAATCACTTGTAGACTCTTATTGCACTATTTCACTATTTTTCTTTTTTATTTACTTGCACTATTTTTTCTGATTGTCAGTGTTATTGTGTTGCTCTGTTGGAGGAGTCTGTGACCTAAGATTTTCCTCGTCATAACTACACTGGAGCTCTGTACGTATGACCAATAAAAGCCTTGAACCTTGAAGCGTCACACAAAAGTTCTTGAAATAAATAATAGTCATTGTTCATTAAAGTTTCTGAATATTTGTTTTATGTTTGTGAATATTTCTGGGTGTTGCCATCTGTACGTGGCGGCGCTGCATTCTTTACGCTACTTACGTTGCTATGGTTACGACAGGCAATGCTGGCGCGGTATTTTATATTTTCATACTGATTTTTTTTTTAACACTGGCTTTGTAATAAATAAAAAAAGGCAAAACGAAAACAGCCAAGCCTCGCAGCTTTTGGATTCACAAGCAAAGAAGCGAAGGAGTCAAAAAATGACAACGTGAACGGAACAACTTTTAGTTGGCCGGCTGTAAGCGGCGTTAGGGTCGAGTTTGACAGCTCCACACCGAGTGAGAGGCCTGCTGATGCGGAGCGTGAAGAGGCTTCAACAACGGCCACAGCCGCCGGCGTCACCTGCACTAGCGAACCTGACGATGCCCATGACCTGCCTTTTAACTGGACACAGAAAAGATGGAGTGAGTGGAATGAAAGGAATCCATGGCTTTTCAAAAAAAATACAAAATGTGGATGTGAGATTTGCAAAGAGGCAAAGATCCCCCTGCCGCTCACAAAAAAGAATGGATTCAGGGAAAAGTCAGCTGTGATCAACAGAATAACCTGCGGAATTCGAACACTGGATAGAGGATAAGATAATTCATCGAGCCAAGATTGCGATCGAATTGTAATTGTAACTGCAACCTAAAAAAAAATCAACATTTTGAGAAATAGTCAAACTTCAGAAAAAATCCAAGAAAATTTAGAAATCTAAGAAAAGTCAAAATATTGAGAAAAGTCAGAAATCTGAAAAAGTCAGAAATCTGAGAAAAAGTCAAAATGATGTGAAAAAGTCAAAATGATGTGAAAAAGTCAAAATTAAGAGAAAAGTCAGAAATCTGAGAAAAATTCAAAATTATGTGAAAAAAAATCAAAATTATGTCAAAAAGTCAAAATTAAGAGAAAATTCTGAAATCTGAGAAAAAGTCAAAATGATCAGAAAGATTTTGAAATCTGAGAAAAAGTCAAAATTATGGGAAAAGTCGACCTAAGATTTTCATCGTCATAACTACACTTTAGCTTGAACCTTGAAACGTCACAGGGTTAAGGGATAGTGGATAGGAGAATTAATCGAGCCAATTAAAACCAAGGTTGCGGTCGAATTCTAATTGTAACCGCAACCTTGGTTTTAATTGGCTCGATGAATTAACAGTCACATAAATGAGCCAATAAGATCGAAGGAGTGTTGTGTTGTTACCAGTGGCGGCCGGCCCATAGGGGCGCTAGGGGCGCCGCCCCCCCTCTTCCCACATGTTTGATTGTCATTAAAAATAAAAAATTCATAAAAAAATATATTTCCAAAAAATATATATTTCTTATTTTTATTTTTATTTTTAAAGAACAAGGTAAATATTATATAGTTGGTATCAGTCAAATGTATAATCTACAATAAAATGTCGTTTAAAAGTCACATGTTTCCTGCCTGGCTGCAGCGTGTATCATTACCCTCTCTCGTCCGG